GACGCGCATATACGGTCACGGTGCACGTTCACGAAGCTCCGAATTATTATCGCACGTAGTAGGGGGAACGATGACCGTCGTAAGAGGCTCCGCAAAACCCTAACTCCCAAAGAGCTCTACCGGCTGGCCTTGGAATATGAATAGATTGCCCGCGAAGAGTGCATTGCACTGTTGCGTAACTATACGCGCGTTTTATTTGCAAGTTTCGTGACGACAGTCGGCCCGCCGGCAATCTGGCCTCGTAGTTAAACCCTCTCGCGATCTCGTCGACACGCCAGCATTTGCAATGTATATCTTCTATATACTAATGCGTTTTATATCATTTATCAAGCCGACGTGGATATGATAACGTTGGGATAATAGGAAATCGGCGATAAAAACGTAGATCGGAACTGCCGATCTACAATTAAACCACCTATTTCTGTCAGGCCGGTCAAAATAACAGCATGAGAAAAGAATATCAATATATATGAAATTTCACGCAATGTGATCATATATGAGTGTGATCCATTAGACGCTGCAAATGCTTTGAAGTGCTTAATAAAAACATGATTGATTTATACGGCGCTTCAAAGCATTTGTGGCGTCTAATGGATTATAATGGACCATAATCATATTCTATAATTATATATTTATTGAAAAAATATTGTTAATACATTGAAAAAAATACTGTACAAATGCAATTCTAGTAAATGCTTGCATTTGTGGCAGTATATGATGTCGACGTTTAATTGAATGAAACTGTATTTTCCTTTGTCTATTCAAAGGCATTTTTTCTGTATAATAATTATATACATTTATATATATGTATATAATTTTATATTTTCTTGTCTAGGTATAGCTTCCGGAATGGAGCCGTGTCTTATATTTTCTTGTTGGAATCTTCCCTATATGTATAAAGTACAGATAGGTTGCATTATTCGTTATAGATTATTGTGATATTTGTTAAGAAATTTACCTTGTGTTAAACTAACACAAAAATTATAGATAAATAAGGACAACAAATAAATCGGGACATGTGAAGTGTGTCGTCTTGCACAATATTTTCGGCAATGTAGCATTAACAACTTCATATTCATCGCGCAAACAACCGATATTTCGAGGTTAACGACGTTAACTTTTGCGTCATTAAATAAACAAGAAAAATAAAAAAACAAAGAAGCGCATCTTTTTTTCTCCGATATATTTCGCGGCTTCAAATATATTTACACCAAGCCTTATCCTCTTACCATTTGTTACTTTGTTATTTTGTGCAGTCATTTATCGGCGATCGGCCATCTCATCGTGATAGCATTTCTGTCTTCGCGTTAAATATAGTCCTTGTACTATGAACAATATCTAAATAAATACACGCGCGAAAGCGCTCCGCGCCTTATCTCTCTACTCGCTCATTCAGCAGTAGACGTACTCGCCCGATGAGTCGATGACGGCGATTGCGAGCATGTTATAAACACGTCCTCGAGGCCTCTCTGCGCGTACGTTACGCAACGCCGCTGAAATTCCTTGCAACATATCGCGAGTGTATCTTGCATGCGCCCTGATAACGGAACAACGGCGAGCGTTCGCGCATGTTCGCCTCGGGAAGCTTCGCGAGAGTTTTGTCCGTTGCGGCGCGGCGCATTACGAAATTTATTAATAGTGCCGGGACTCCCGCCCTACCCTCTCCCTCTGCCCGGGATGAGTTTTGCATACCTCATTATTTCCACAAGTGTGCCGAAGAACTAACTGCGTGCCGTCTTGCGTTTCATGCGTTTCCGAACGCAGTCCCCCTCTCTCACTCCATTTCATACAAAAAAAAACGGGATGTCTTCCGTCGCTCTTCTCCGAGAGACTCTATCGATGGTTTTCCATAGAAATCCGTTCAATTGCTGAAAGATTAAAAAGAGACATCGCGTTGGTGTCCGTCCTCTCTTCTTACAAGAGAAGGATTAGAAGTAGAAACGCGCTTTTGAAATGCGGTTTGTCCCAAATGGTAGTCCTTTCTGTTCATCACGGATGCTGTTCATTATGCATTATGGATTTATTATGTGAAAATAATCATATTTTGAGCACAAAAACACAAAAATTTGTAAAACATAACTTTTTTGCTTCTTTCCTTAAAATCGATCTGACATTAAAATGTTTATAGTTTTTTTAATTGGTAAAAAAAGTAAGGAGGGGGAAGTGTTGGAAGCTAGAGTTTAAAATTCTTAACATGGATATAAATGACTGCCATTTGGAACAAACTGCGTTTCGACAGCGCGTTTTTACTTCTCCCCTTGTTAGATCTTAAAGCTCGATGTTTTAAATTTCGGCGAGATGCGTCACACTTCGCGGCCGATCGATTAGTTCTCTTGTTTGCGCTGTGACGGAGTATATCGCGATACCGGTGTACATGTGTGTCCGGATTCTGCTTACGATACACGCCGGCATAAGCGATGGCGCAATCCGCCGGCATAGTCGCAAAACGCCCACACACGCCACTCGGCCGTTGGCCCTTGCATATAGCACATTCGGAGCTTATATTTGGCTCGAATACCTGCGACCATGGCCACGACGATACGCACGACGCTATACTAGGCGAGTTGCGAGCCCCGGAATTATTGATCCATTGTTACGGGAAGCGGATACCCACCGATAATTGGGCTACGGGAATACGGAAAATTGCTTTCAGCCGGAACTTCATGTCTCTCTCTTTCATGACTCTCTCTTTCTTTCTCTCTCTCCTTATTTTTTCTTATCAGAGATGTATAAACAGAAAAATATATACTGCATTCGAGTGAATATTACTTGCTTCAAGTATTTTATATCCTCTTGAGTTTTCACCATAAGCATCAAATTTATTCAAAATACATTCTGAATTCTAGTAAATTTAGTATTTTAATGAAGAACACTGAATTAAAAAAAAGCTTCTAGAAACTTATGAAAATTCATTAAAAATTTGGTTTGCTTACTACTTGAAGCTGAATTTGTTCTCAACAAAAGTTTTATAATATTCTTGTAAAGAGAATAAATTCTTTTTCTTTATATATCTGATAATGAGTTTTTCTCAAATTGGTGATGAGATTTTTCAAGGCTATATTATCAAAAAAATATTCTATACTGAATAAGAAATATTCTATCTGAAAATAATCATTATTTTTAAAAGAAGGTAAACTAATTGAATAATAATTTTTCTTACCAGTAGAATGATTTTTCTGTTTGTATTATCATTATCAAGCTAATTTATACGGAATGGTATATTTCGGCGTGCACTGCAGTCGAGCTATCAAGAAATACACGCTTGGTATATTCAATATTCGTCGTACGAGACGAATTCGAAATCAGGCGCAACGGGGAGCGCACGGAAATTCAATCCCGCGTCGGACGAAAGAGCTCAAAGAGTTGGATATACTTTGTTCCGGGAGTCATTCGTAAAGACAGGTGCTTTGAACCACCTGGTCCTGGTGCCTTCTCGTCACCTTTCTCTTTTCTCTCTTCTCGCACTTGATTTCCTTATTCGGAGGGTATCACCGGCAAGCCTCCTTCCCATACCCATCTAACTGCGCGCTCGGATCTACAATCCAGCGGCTGTCTCACACGGAAACGTACACTGCGTTTTATGTTTCCTCGTCGAATTTTCGTGAAGTAACGAATCGCGAGGAGATGCTACGGCGATGCGAGTAACTCTCAATGACAAAGTATACACGTATCTGCGCAATTACTCCTATTGAAATTAAATAAACCTCAAAAAGTCTAGGCTGATCATAACGAGACAGTTTCAACTATAAATAAAGATTAACGACCGAAAAGAAGTCTTTACATCGTTTATAGTATAGAATATAAGCGACTGTACATGACGAATTATATGTTCCGATGATAAAAAGTAGTTTTGGCTCAAAAGTGCAAAACTGATCTCGTCAGCCATTTAATATTAACGACATCTTTTATGCTTTCTTTATCTCTTCTGGGATTTAGAAAGAAGATCTTGCGGGGTACTGGCTGCATGATTGCAATCTCCAGTGGTCGGTCACGTTCGCGACTTTTTCTTTTTTCCTCCATGCACAATCGTCCTTTCTTTATTTCCTTCATGCACAATCGTTCCTGAATGTTTCCCAGGCGCCCTACGTCCGGCGGTCGTCCGTGTCATATTACACGCCCGCGCACGCACTATACTTACACGCGTGAATTATGAATTACGGAAGATCGTGTCCGAAGATGACCTAGATACGCAGCGGGCTGCGAGAAAGGGCATCGACGTCAGACTCGCCAGCCTCGGTTCCTTTATGTCGTCGCGGAGAGGGAAACGTTAGGTCGGTTAAAAGAAAAAAAAGCAGAAGAAGATGAAGAAGAAGAAGGGTTCAACGGTCACCGGCTTTCTTTGCACGCCAAAATTCCCGCGCTCGTCGCCGATGACGTCCGCTTCATATCGTGAGCCGTGAGAAAGAAAAGAACGCGCGCGAATCGAAAACTCAGATTCGCCGTCGATTTCGCGAGAAGTATCGCGCCACCCCAGTCGAAATTTCAGCCCTATTTTAGACATGAACTTTCTAACATGTGTACGCAATAAAAAATATTTTGTATTAAAACTGGTACTTGTTAATATTTTCCATGAAGTTTTCAACATACTATTTATTACTAATTATTACACGTTGTTGTAATGTTGCCTACCAGTGATGGAGGTGTCTAGCGAAATTGCCTCAATACAAAAAATCCAAACAACGAAATTTCAATTGTTTTAAACATAAAATTATTTTATGCTTAAAATAATGATAAATAATATGGTGAAATTCTATATTGATATCCTTTATTCATTTTTTGAGAAAAATTCGTGGAAACTCCCTATTTCTCGGCTATATGATCCAAAACCACCCCTTAACAAATGTCGTGTTCCGGTAATAAAGAGTAATTTATTAACAAAGACTGGATTAAACTTGCCAGTTATTTCCCTGTGACGATTAACGATATGTTATCTCTTCAATTCGCAATATCTCATTGTTTGTGATTTTTAAGACGGTATTCGCCCTACTTATGTGTTTCAGGAGTTACGTTCAAAGCACACAGATTAATCCTCGCAGCATGCAGCAAGCATTTTCAAGAGCTCTTTGAAGGAATGCCGCCTTCTCCCGCGGGACTGATCGTTATTCTCGACGGGACGAGCGCCCACGATATGGAGTCCCTACTCGAATTCATGTACCGTGGAGAAGTACATGTGTCCCAGGAATCCCTTACCTCCTTCTTCAAGGCAGCTGAATGCCTACAAGTATGTGTGCGCCTGTCTTTTTCCGTAAATAATGATCTTAAATAATGTCACCGAATAATTGTACACATGGCGCGACAGAGCCGGATATTCCGACGACCCTAAAACATGCTCGGCTAAGTCCTCCGCGCCCGTTTCGGAAGCTCGGCAAGCAGTTAAATCATTTGCCAGGCTTTCCACGAAAACGCCTTTTCGTTCGCGAACCTTCAGCACTTCTACTCGACGTATTTAACTATCTGCGAAAAGTCGCACAGTTCTATTTCGCAAAATCTAATGTTCATCTGACGCAAGCAAAAGATGTCTTCATCGATGTAACCAACGACATTCACGGCGGTGAACGCGATCAATCAATATCTTTGAAATATAATTAATATTGCCGTAAGTCTTCCGTGTCATTTTACCGGTCGACATGGCGTTTTATCACCTCCCCAAAATACGTTCCTTCTTCATCTATAATTCATGCGCGCTGTTTTCCCTGTAAACCTAGGTTAAGGGTCTCTCGATCGAGCAAGAGAAGTTGGCGGTAGCGCACACGCACGCTACGGAAAACAACAATGCCTCCGCAGACGTAGGAGGTGGCAGCGGAAGCGAAAGTGGCGGAGGAGGTGGCGGCGGCGGTGGCGGAGGAGGTGGCGGAGGAGGTGGAAGTGGTGGAGGAGGAGGAGGTGGTGGTAGCGCCGGTGGTAACGTCGGGGGTAACGTCACCAGTGGCGTCGATAGTGCTATCGGCGCTGGAAGAATCGGCAATGGGGGTAGCGGACGCGGCAGCGGCGGCGTCGGTGAAGTGAGCGACTTGAGCGAGGCGGGCGAGGCCACGATGGTCAGAAACATCATGAAGAGGACCCCGACGCCGGCACCGTCGCCCGCTCCGGCGCACACCGTGCCCAATGTGTATTCTACCTCGCACTACTATGAAAACCCGCTGAAAAAGCTGAAGAGGTAAGTCTCCTTTAGCGCCGTGAGTGTCAGTTAAGATTCAAGCCTTAAGCAACTGACTAACCACAGTCAATCATTCTCCTTACGTCTCAAGAATAACCGATTGTGATTGGTCAGTTGCTTGTACGACTTAAAGCTTAAAGCGAGCTTGTAGATCGACACTGAAAGACGCGCGCGTACGATGATGTTTACGGGAAGTCGTGAGACCACGACCGCGGATGATCTTCACGCAGGAAAAGTGAAACTCGCACAAGGGGAGCTAAAATGTAGGAGCTGAGATTGATTTGCCGATTATCTTAATTAAAGATCAATTTTTGTCGATTATTACCCAACAATAGATGCAACCGTGGTAGCAAAGATGTTTCTTTGAAATAGAGGCAGCTAAAGTGTCATTGTTACTGAGCAATATATTCGTTGACAGAAACAAAAATGACGCTCAATTAAATCCGTCGCGCTATTGTCATTGTGAGGTACACTTTATTAACACATGTGTACCATAAAGTACTTGGAAATGGCTGCCACTTTCTTACCTACTCGTGCTATTTTGCGCTTATAATAAATTATTACCTCGCAGTGAACGTATTTGATCTGCAATAGTCAGAACTTTAGTAATGACAACGAATTAACCAGCTAAATTCGGCTCGACCATCAAGATTTAGCTGATAGTGCCAAGCTATTTTTTCGCGTGTTCTTACCTTCTAATGGCGATGACGTACGCGACGATCCGCGAACGAACGGAGCGATAAATTATACACGCCATGGAGAAACGACCGAAGTTTCTGCGAAGCGAGCCGCGCGTCCGGTTTCGAACTTCGGTTCGCCGGCAGATTTTATTGAGATTTAAGATATGCGCGCTATATACGTGAAATTAGCGTTTCACCGTCGTCGAAGGACACCGGTATCGAAGGGCATGACTGTATAATAAGGTGACGATTGCGCGAAACTACATGATCCCTTGACTTACTTTCGCCACGACAAGTGTCTCGGGTCGCTTTCGCTCGCTCTTGGGTCGTTCGGTTCCTCCGGCAGTTTCTTGTCCCCTCCTTAACGCCACTAGCCGCTGTTTACCAAATACTCGCAGAGGCATTACGTTCTCGCTGATTACAGCCACGTCAGATTCTGTGAGCCGCGATCGCATATTTTTAGATCGCCGAACAACGTCGATATGCTGGGAAGAGCGAGCGTGTTACGCGACGGCGCCGACTTCCGGCCCAAATCCGCTCCGGACACGCTCTTGCTGGAGAACCACTTCTACACACCGTATCCCTTTTCCTCCGAGGCGCCCGCGCATCCACACACCGCGCCCCACACGCCCACGGAATTGGAACAAGAGCTTGAACGAGCGCAATTCGAGGAACGCAACAACTGTGATCACAGAGAGAGCGTTGCCGAAGGTGAGACCCGTTTCGCGGACTCTTCGCCGAGAAACACTGCCACCGAGGGCGCGAACGTTAAACGGGAATATTCGCTTTCTGTCATAGATCTCCGGATAAAGCAAGAGCCGGTGGCGATGAGCGATCAAGAGAGGGCGGACAATTTAGCGAAGAGATTATCCGGTGAGGCTTACACCGGACGGGGAGGATACAGCAGCTCGTACAGCCAGAACTCAGACCAACTGTCGCAAGGAAGTCCGCAGCTGGGTGCGGCGGTGGTTACGATGCCTCCGACTCATCCACCGACTCCCGATCTTAGTCCCGCGCCCACCACTACCGCTGTCTGGAACACGAGGCTCAACAGGGCTGGCACTGTCTCCACTCCCGAAGGTGAGTGGATCCGTTGTATTTGCGTCGCGTGTAGAACAATCGCGGACAAACGATCATGGGATCAATTTAGTAGAAAATCGAACGACTCTCAGGCCTCAATAGTTGTCACTTGAAACTTGTCGCACGTGGAACACTTAGATTTGAGTTTAGGCTGGCATTAATAGTCATTACTTGAAACTTATCTCAAGTGAGATATTCAGATTTGAATTTAGAATTAGACTTGAGCTTTCCATTTGTATCATATAATATGAGACATTAGTTTTACAATCGCGCGATTTCACTGGAAAACTCACATTTACCTCTAAATTCAAATCTGAATATTTCATTCGAGACAAGTTTCAAGTGACAACTATTAATATGGATCTAAGATTGTTTCTTCTAAGCAAGCAATTATCAGTGATCTCGTGCGAACGCGATTCGCATGGATTAGTCGTGATGCGTGCCGAGCAGATAGTATTAGATCGCAAACATTCGCGGGTGAGAGATAACGACGCAGCTGGACCTATTGACACGTGAAATCGAGAATGATGTAGCGAGTGAGTGAATAAGCGCGCGCGCGCTCGCGAACATTGCAGGTTTGTTGAACTCCCTCGCGCGCAAACGCGCTCTTTCGCTCACGCGTACCACGTGTATTTTGATTCACCGCCAAAATATACAACGCTGGCATGAATGATGAATTTTTTTCGTGTGCGCGCGCGCTACGATCGCGTTTGAAAAATTACGCTTGAAACGTCGGGGGCCATTAGGCCGTCCGAGTAATATGATTCGGGCATTGCTCAACGCTGCGCTCTCTATCTCGGTGAGCGTGAGGCGCTCCCAAATCTGATACGTTCTATCGTGCCTCGATGCGTCGGAGAAGGGAAAACCCTCCAGCTCCGGCGTTACAAAATGCACGGCCGTTGCATCACCGGCTGCACGTGGGTCTACCGTGGATGTTGCAACTGCCACGTTCCTATCTCTGCACCTACCTCCCGCCGCTCCTCGTCGCAGCGAGCCTCATCGGCCACGCGGCGCGATAAAACGGTGCATAAAAAGTAGAGAGAAGCTCCCTGCGCGCCGAGACGATGGCACGCTTGATGGCCCCGCGGTACCATCATCCCACATTCTTTCAACTATGAATCTATTAAAAGATTTGGAGTGTGAAGGCTTTTCTCGTCAATACAAGGTTTCTCTGTCTCTTTTGCGCTGTCTCTCTCTCTCACACACACACACACACACACAGGTTCCGTCAATTTCTGAATTTCCAAAAGAGAACAGCCGATTCCGAGCTCTGATCAAAGAACAGCTCATCGCTGAAAGATAACGCGCGCGACGCGGTTTCGGGACACCCCGTAGGTCTTTTTTCGTCCACGTCAGTCCGTGGATGTCCGTCCGCTTCGGCGACGCTCTAACGTGCAGAAAGAGAGAACGACGACGCCGTGGACGGACGGGATTTAGCCGGGGCTCTCGTCGTCCGAGCCGGCGGTATGGTACAGGCCACCACATGCCTTACGACTTGCCTTCACGGTGTGAACAAAGTGTACAAAGAGGATGCAGGCGACGGTGCAGCCACTGGGAACATCTTTTGCTCCGGCGAGCAAATCACCGAGCGTAACGCTACGACGACGTGCCACGTGAAACGGTCCCCCGGCCCCTCGGCGCCGGCGTCGCGACGAGGCAGCCGTGTTGTACCGCGGATGACGCTCCCGAGCATTTTTAATCGCCGCTCGCCCGCCGCAAAGAAAGTACCGAAGCGGCAACTAATGCAACGGTTATTGACATTAGGCCGCAGAGGAGAAAGGGCAAAGTAACGAGAAAGACGGGGGTGGCGGAGCGGGGCCGCAGGGAGCGAGGCGGGACCGTGCACGCTAAACGTGCCCAGGGAAGAGTGAAAGAAGTCGCTGATAGACGGAGGAGCTATTTATTAATGTGCTAAAGTTCGGAGCATCCATGCGATCGCTTCGAAGGGGGCCTCCTTTGCACTCTGCGCCGTCACATTCCTGTGATCTTCAAAGATACTAAAACTACGGAAGTCTTTCTTGGCGAGTTGACGCTAAGAGAGAAAGAGAGAGCAAAAGAGAAAGAAAAGAAGTTGAAGTAAAAGTACCAATGTCTACGGACACTAATAGCACTAATGGTACTTAATTTTAGATATTCTTATTGTTTTGGTCTTTAAATATAATTTTAAACTTCAAATATATTACACTAAAATTTAAACTTTAAATATAGAACACATACACAGAGAGAACGATTTGGTTGAATCAAATAAACGCTTCTTTGGAATAGTCCAAACGAATTTTTCGATTGATCAAACAAAATTTTGTTTGAAGCAACAAAAATATTTATTTGCGACTTAGTTCCAAAGAAATATTTTTGTTGTGTCAACCAAATAATTTGTTTGGACTATTCCAAAGAAACATTTGTTTGAATCAATAAATCGTCCTCTCTGTGTATGATATACTCTGTGTATTGAATATACAAGATATTAGTCCTTAACCAAGCGCCAAATATTGAAATGGTAGATGGTAGAAGTTAAATTGAGACAAAAAGTTTTTTTTAGTAAAAACAATAATTAACGAGTTAATTAATTAATTGTGATGTTTAATGCGTCTTTAATTTTGATGTTTAATAACTGACGTTAGGATAACTAACTGATAGTTAGTTATCGCAAAAAAATATGAACCTTCACTTTTTAGACTAACTTCGTTATTCTGATTAGTGACCTCCTAATCATCACAATAAAGCTAGTCTAAAGAAGAATTAAAATCTTGGTAAAGAAACAGAAAGGCGAAAGTCAATCAGAACTTGCGCTGGTGGTCAGGTAGTAGTCGATGATTTCTGCTTTTCCACTAGCGCGAGTCGACTTGACCTTTTCGTTCTCTGCTTTTCTGTCAAGATGTGAATTCTCCCTAAGAGACAGGGATTCGCATTTTCTCGGCGTGCGATACTACGTACAGTTTAAATATTCGTATTTGAAAACCAGAACAATAAGAATGTCCGGAATTAGGTGCCAGTATTGTCAGTGTTTGCCATTGATCCTTTTACCTTAGATTATTCCTGTAGCACACGTCTCGGGAGGCGAGCTGCTCGTAACGGGACGTACGATGCGGAAACGAGGATTTTTATTACTGCTCTTAGATCTCTCTTTCTGGGAGGCTGCCGGACAAAGGCACCGGTGAAGACACGAGGAAACCTCCGCAGAAGAGAAGTAGAATGAACGCCGTTCGTGATTCTCTATTGCGCGTGTAGGTAGGTGCGACCGTGGCAAGTGTAACTGACTCTTTGAATCGTCAAACGGGGCAAGAATGCGGCGAGAGAACCGCGCGTTCACGGTGAGAAAAAGGATATCGTAACGCCGCCACAGCGGCGAGCTATTCTATATCGGAGTACAGTTATGCTCACCACGAGCGGCAACGCGTCGTTAAGCGTTACTTTTTGTTAGAGCCCTGTCGTTAGAAACCGCGCCGCTTTAGCGTCCCCGGCATCTCGCTGCGTGGAATTTATGCGTCGCCGTCGTGGCGATTGCGCAAGCTATTTGGCGAGAGGAGACTCGTGAACGAGAACGTGGCTTCTCGCGTCTTCATAGATTTAAATTTTATGGAAGTCTCTGACCCGCGACTCCGTATTAGAGACACCTTTTATTACTGCTTGCAGAGCGATATCTTTAACCTCCTTTTTTTTGTCGCGCTGCTGTAACTACTGCTGTATTAAGAACGTACATACAAATGAATTAATGGTCGGACATAAAAATATAAGTATCGGGATATAAGTATCGAGAATAAGAATCTTAAATGTCGTCTTTCAAAATAATACGTTGCTTATTTGGCGGGAAGAAAAAATAGATATGCGTGGAAAGGATCGTCATGTTAGTTTTATTAGTCGTTTGATCTTGCCGCTTATTGCATTCGTCATTGGGAAGGGATAACGTCCAACAGCCAGCATTCTGTCTGTTTTCAGCACTTTTGCACGGATATCATCAAACATTAAGGTGTATAGAGATTTAAAACAAGATTAATAAATAATAGTTAACAAATAATTAAAAAATAATTAACCTGACACACTGTGGTGTATTTTCGGCCCTATTCGGTTTTTAATTTGGAATTATTCGCAAACTAGTAGAGTGAGGACCTTCAAAGAATTGCTGCATCTTTACAATTGAATTTGGAACCTTAAAAATATTCAAAAGTTTGCAGGCAGATATTTATGTATGTGTGATTATGTTTCTCGCCAAATATGATAAAAACAAAGCAATATACATTTATATGAGGTTTATATATAAGAAATACGAAGAAAAATAACGTGGTTGTGTTAGTGACGATCGTCTCTACATTACTAATATTTGAAGAGTTCGTCATTTGGTATCTCCTTAAGTTTGTGCCCAAAACATGTGTGCCACATGAGGATACGTTAATAAATCGTCACATACATTAACATCTGATAAAATTTGAATAAGAGAGTTCGAAAACTGCACATTTCCTCCAGAAAGTCATCACGTCGAAATCAAAATCACGGGAAAGCACTTTGAAAGTGTCCCCGGCCGCGACCATGCGCGCTTAGTTTTTCATCTTCCGCGTCTTTGATCTTTAACAGTCCACGGTACTTTCTCTTAAATTCCAGAATACCGTTTCACGGTTCTCTTGACTTTCTCTTACGAATGGAATGCCCATGCATTTACGACCTGCTTCCAGTGGATATTGTCCTACGAAAGGATCAAGGCGCGAAACTCACGTGCTTTTACACTCGCGGGAGAAATTCCTTTATCCCTTCACCGAGATATTATGTTTACGCGATACAAAATATACGTCGCGACGAAGATACGAGGTTGACGTTGAAAATAAAACTCCCAAAGCACGCGCGATGCAAGCACATTTCATTCTCGGTGTAAAACGAGTTCAATACGAATTCACATTCTGTGCCGCGACGATCGCGGTCAACAACCTCATCCTATAACCCCAAAATCACAATGACAAATTACATTATAGTGTCGCTGTGAATTGTCATTTGTGCATTTTCGCATGTTA